CTTCATTTTCTTTAAAAACTTATCATGGTGAGTTTATCATGTCTATAGAAGTAACACACTTTATAACTGTAGTATAAAGGATACAGGGCATAGATAAATGTATTTATCATGTGAAACAGTACAGCACTTTGTAAAGCAGTGAAAATGAAGACTATATGTTATAATCTGCAGAGAAACTCTAAAGCATGATGTAACAAGGCATATTGAAAAAGTAAAAAGGGACTTCTAAAAGAAAAAATTAATAAAATCTAAGAGAAAAAGGAAGAATAAAAAAGCAAAATTAGAACAAAACAAACGAAAATATAATTAAAAGAAACACACAATGAATAGTGAGCAAAATATAAGTGTATATACAATGGACTTAAATATAAGAGTAATAAAATGTTTATCAAATTAAATTTCAGGAATTAATAGATGTTTATAAAAGCCACAACTACATGCTGTCTATAAAGAGAGACAGGTTTAAAAAATTCGATTGCAGACCTGTGTTTGTCAGCTTTCTGTTGCTGGTACAAAATACCTGAGATCAACAACTCACAGTGGAGAAACATTCATTTTGTTTCGAGATTGGAGAGAGATCAGTCATGACTTGGCCTGTTAACTTCAGGGCTCTGATGGCACAGTACATCATGTTTCTGTGGCAACACATGGTGGAGAAGATGTATGTTCATCTCATAGTGACTGGAAAGTTGAGAGAGAGAGGAATGGACCAGGGTCCTAATAGTCCCTCCAAGGTTGTACACCAGTGACTTCATTTCCTTCAATTGATCCCAACTTTTAAAGCTCCCACTATCTTCCAGTAGCACCACTGGCTGGTAAAGAGTCTTCAACACATGGTCTTTGGGGAATATTTAAGTTCAAAACCATAGCAAGGCAATTTTTGATCAATTATAAATAACTTTCAAAATCCCCCCCCCAGTTCCCATCTAATTCTCTTGAAAGAACTTCTCACCTTGTACCAGCGATCTGCCTTCTAACATCCACAACTGAACCCAAATTTATTAAGTCCCACAATCAAAGGCCTAGAGCATAGAAGCAGCTGTCAAAACAAACATATAGTTAACATTTTTCTAAAGATCACAGGAGAAGAAAGGAAATATGTCAAAAAGTTCTCCATTCGATCTTATTTCCAGTGATTTCTTAAACAAGATATGAGCATTATTACAACAAGAATGATTTGAGAATTAAAAAATGATGCTCTCCCTCATGTAAATTCACCTCTGCTCTGTTCTGCCCTTGGACTTGGTCCTCTGACTGCGTCTTGGTTTCTGTAGGGAAATTTTAGAAGAAAGACTAATAGAGTTCATGTGGTCTTCTCCCATCCAAAACCTTCCCTTTTCATGTTGAACTCTTCTTTTAGATATTTAGAAGGGTTATATGTCTATACCTAAAGTTTATGTCATGTATTAAGATTTTAAAAATTGGAGAAAGCCCAATTATTTTTTCACTATAGAGAGATAGATTGAGAATATCATAATTTAAATTCTATTACAAAAAAGTCAAGATCACTACTGGTCATAATTATAGAAGTATGTTTCACTGAAGGCCTAAAGACAATCTATGAGATGTCAAATATAAAAACAAAAAAATTCTTACAGATTAAGGTAATTATAAACCATTATCCATTGCTGAGTTATAAAGATACTTTCTTTAGAACACTCTCAGTTCCTTCAAATTTACCAGTTTGGTGACATATCACCCTATGAGAAATTATAGGTATTTACAACAGTTGAAAAATCATAGCTGTATTTTACAATGAATTTTTACATGAATTTTCACATATGTCCATCTTTATATTATAGTGCATGTGTCTATGTTATGACTTGACAATAAATAGTAGATCTGCTTTCCCTCTGGAGAAGTTGAACACAGTAGCAGTCCATTCCATGCATGTACCTCCTCAGATGACTCCAGTGGAGACTCTAATGGAGACAATGACAGACAATAGGTAAGGACCATTGTAGGGATAGGGGCTCCAAAAGACATTAAATTAAGTCTAGACTATTACTTTAATAATGATTGAAGGTTGGGACATTGTAAAAGAACCACGAGAGAAATAATGCAGAGTTTGAATTTGAGCATACTGACTTTGATGTAGAAACCAACTGGTCTGGAGTACAAATGAAGTAATCTCAATGGAAAAGAATATTATAGGGTCATCTGTATGCAAGTGATCACTGATGTCACACATGAATGTGATAATTTATGAAACTTTGAAGGAAGAGGCAAAGGTCAATGGTGGGAGGGGATCAAGTTCTTAGAGGCAAGTGAGAATAAGAAGCCCAACACGGTAATAGAGAGAAAAGCACTGTGTGTGGTGACACATGCCTTTAATCTCGACAGAGGCAGGTGGATCTCTGGGTTTGAGGCCAACCTAGTCTACAGAGTGAGTTACAGGACAGCCAGGGTTACATGAGGAAAACTTCAAAAAATGGATGAGAGGGTCAGGGACACAAGAAATGAAGCATCAGGAGGGTTTCCCTACAAAAATCAAGAGGCAGCCAGAGGACCAAAGAGGAGGGCTATGAGAAGAATAAATTTGTGCTTCTGCAGTACAATTATATCTGTGCTAAGAAAGGATGGAGATTACAACCTTCAGCTTAAAAAAAAATCACTGGCATTTTCACCTCCTTTTTGTGGCTATTTTCAGGCCACTTTAAAAAAAAAAAAAAAAACCTAACCTTTGGCATATAACCTATGAACATGTTTCCTAGGCTGCTAAAGCAACACAAGCTTGATAGCATTTAACTGCAGAAGTCCATCTTCTCAGATGTCTGGAGGCCAAGAGAGTGAAGCCAAGGTGTAAGTTGGCAGGGGTTCTTTCTCAGGAACTCACAGGACAATATGTTACACGCCCCTCTCTGGTGGGTGTCAGCCGTTCTGACTGTCCTTAGTATGAGATGGAATAGGTTCAGATTCTGCCTTAACAGGCATACAGTGTTCATCTTGGTTACCCATGCCCAGATTTACATGTTCTTGTAAACATGGCCATCACTTTGTTAATCCATAGTGACCTTGTCTTAAGTCAACCTGAGAGACCGCTGTTTCCAAATATGGTCACATTCTGAGCTTTGATGTAGATTTGGTGAAGATAATACTCAATCCACTCTCTGAGCAGGAGCGCAAATGCACAATGTGTATAGCAACTAGGATGTTCAGTAAAGGCACATACTTAAGAAATTAGAACAGGACAAAAATAAATGAATTATATGTAGTCACTATTACTATTTTTTTTTTTGGAAGGCTATTATGTAGACCAGGCTGGCCTGGAATTCACAGTGATCTGCCTATCTCCCAAGTACTGGGATTAAAAGCATAAATAATTACTAAAATCCGACATTTTAGTTTCTTCCAACAATACTATTAATAGGAGCCCAAATTAAGTGGGTATTTACACAAAGAACTTAAAGACAACATATCACAGAAATCTTTGAACGTCAGTGTTTATTGAAGCACTGTTCTCAGTAGCTGTTATGGAACCAACACAGATGTCCGACAGTAGAGGAATGGGTGAGAAAACGGGTGTGTCTGCACACACAATCAAACTTTTTCTTACAGAAAGAAAAAGGCCATATTACTTACAGGACAATGAATGCAAATGAAGATAATAGTACTCAGTGAATTAAACCGATCTCAGAAGACAATCGTCACCAGATTTTCTTTCTTGTTTGTGGTTCCTAGATTTTACATAGATCCATAAAATCATGCATTCATATATGACAATGAAGTGGGATTAGGGCTGGCTTGGGGGACACTGGTGGATGAGGGAAGGAGGGGAGATCTGAGGGAGAATATACTCCACATACATGCATAAAAACTAAAAGCATCCTTCACGTAAATGGCTTTTATTTAATGTAGCTTCTGCGCTAAGAGACACTTCTCTCAACTCTTCCTATAAAAAGAGATACTGATACACCCACACACCAATGTTTTCTTAGTTAAATAGATCAGAAGGCCTTTCCAGTGAGTGAGAACTTGGCTCGAAGGTGTTCCTAAGGCTGTTCACATGGCCACACTAATGGACTCCTAAAAACTAAGTAATGAAAGGTGTGGCAAATTTATTCACTAGAATTGATGTACCTTTTCCTAATTGTCCTCAAATATTTACTGTGTACTCCAGTCTTTGGGGCACCATTAGGTATTAGGTATTGAGAAGATTAGGATCTTTAAGAAAAAAAAGTCTTCCCTGAAACGCCATTAGGGAGGAGGAAAAAGCATACACAGACATGGAAGTAAGGTTTTTGTAATAACTAATGTTTCCGACATTGTTTTTGAAATGCCCCATTAACTCAATTACTGATTCTAAGACTTCACCATGTCCTGATCTATCAGAATTCTCAGCTCGCTTCCATTTGTGACTTCTAGGTGGTTTCCAAATGCCTGTTAGCTGCCCAGGAGCAAGGTCTAATTGTTCAGGTGGGCGGTTCTCCCAGCTTCTGGGCCTGGGTAGAAGAGAACACGTTGCCACACAGGTCTCGATCGCTTCCTGCCAGTTCCCAGGGTCGATTTCGTTGCAGACATTCTACCATACAACCATAAAGAGAGGTCAAAAACTGTCTTTCAAACTCCTGAGCTGGAAGACCGGCATTTTAAGGAGAGAAAGCAAATCGACTCTCCGGTGGACAAACCATTCAGGTCTGTAGCGGCAGGAGGCATGTTCAGACAGGGCGTTTTCCAGGTTGTTCAGGGGAACACGCTGGGTAGACCGCTGTTCCAACACGTTTGTCTGGCTCTCAACGCCCAAAGTTAACACGATCATAAGTTTGACCCAAGAGTTTGTCCTTTCAGGCAACTTTCTGACAGATCGCGCGGGGTTGGGTCTTGCAGGCATCGCAGGTGGCTCCGTGCAGAAACACCTGGCCTAGGGCACAGGGTCCAGGCTTCTCCCCGCCCGTCCGAGAGTTGGGCGCAGCTTTTCCTTCTCAAGCCTCTCCCACTTCCCTTCCCACCCGTCCCGCCCGCCGAGTCCCAGGAACAGCGCGCGTTGCAGGGTCTGGGTCATTCCCCCTACATCTCCCATGGGACCAGGAGGCAAATTCCTGTGGGTCCCAGGAGTGCCAAAAGCGCTCAGCGAGACGGGAAATTGCAACAGTGCTGCCCCTCGGCCCTCCCCACAACCCCCCTCCTCGTCGCCTTCCCGTAACTCCCGCCCCTGGACACTTGCCCCGCAGCTGATTCATAGCCCGGGCGCGGGGCCGCCTCCACAGGCCGGGACCGACATCCGCACCCGCGCCCCTGCGAGGCCGAAGAGCGGGTGGAGCAGTCGCCAGGCGGGTGAGGACCGGCCCCGCGCCCCCTCGCCGCCTGTGCGCCGCCTCCTTCCGCTTCCCCGACGGACGGACGAGCCCCGAGCTTCGGTGCCCCGCAGCCGCCTGGCACTGGCTCCGCGCAGCCACCGCTCCGTCCCACCTTGGTTTTGCCTCCCGAGATTGCACTCTCAAGACAGATAAGTGCCGCCTACCTACTGGGTAACTCTAAAAGACCAGATCCTCTTGGAGTGCCAAGTCGCTGAGTCCAGGCCTGCTTTGAGGTTCACCATCCCCTGGCCTTTCTCTCCAGTGGTTGGGGAAATGTTTATGGAGTTAGGATTCCCGTTTTGGCTGCATTGGCTTCTCTCCCAAAATACCCTGTGGGAGTTGATGGCTGCCCCATCCTCTTGCATTCCCTTAACTCCCACACAGCCCTGCCTTTTCTCTGAGAATAGGTGCTTCCCTCTCCACTAAGAGGAGAGCACAGGGATGAGATAGGTATGGGGGCAGCGCTTCTGCACAGGTGGAGAGAGCAGGTACCTCTTCTCAAGCTGCTTAACAGTCAAGGATGCCCAGCTATAGGCTCCAGGTCAGTGTCTCCGAGACTAGAGGGGTAGCGGTGGTGTACTGAAATCAGAGCCTGAATACAGAGATTCCCTTTAACAGTTCTTCGGGGGGCGCTTGTCCACTCACTCATCCATTGTTGCTTCCACCTGCCCTGCCTGGCACGTGAGTGACTGGCGGCACAGGGATTGCTTTCAGACAGAGGCTGCCTGCAATACCTTGTAAGAGCACTTTGAGATCAAACTGTTTCCTCTCAAGACACCTGGATGCAGAGGTGGACATAGGCACAGTTGAAAGAGGAAGCTATGTGCTGGCTAAAGGCACTCTGCTGAAAGGAGGGGAAAAAAGGCAGCCACAGGTCCAAACCCTAATGTAAACAGACCTGGACCTGGGGCAGCTTACTTTTTATGGCTTAGTTTCACTTTCCTTGTTAACATAATAACAATGCTTTCTATTACTCTTGACCAAGAACAGTGTATTTCATTTTATCCAAGGTCCAGAGACATAAAGAGGCAATGATGGTCCAGTAGTTAGTCAGGTGACAGAGTCAAGATTTCAGTTCAGATTCTCATAGCCTCTCTGCTGTACTTCCAATTCTAGGGTTTTTTGGAGTAAGGGCTGGAGGTCACCAGAGTCATGGGGGAGGGGGTTTCCCATCCCCCTACCCTCACCTGTTTCCCTTCCCCAGTGCATAGGAAGTCCAAAGGTGCTGATGTTCTGTCTGTCTTTGTCGTGAGAAAAGACCCGAGTCAGGAACACGGCTGTGCTTCTCAGTGAGTGACTGAGGGTGCTGCCTTTGACAACAGAATGGTTTGTGCTTTCCCTATGAGACCTGGACTGGGTGGTTGCTGACTCTGGAAGGAAATCACAGTGCGCATTCTCCAACTAATTTGTGGGAACAGGAGGTTTTGGCCGTCCTCTCTAGACAGGAAACCTTTCTCAGAGAGGAGGGAAAGAAAAGCAAAACAAATAGCACACCATGTGAGATCGGAAACAAAACACATAGCTTATCAGGATCTTTGGAGAGCAAACCTTTCCCTGAAGCAAACTTCCTTGTCCCTACCCGAGGTTTTCTTTCCCAGTGGCTGATCCCCACTTCAGTCTTCATTCCCCACATTTTACTGTCCTGCTTCCCCAGGTTTTACTTACTTCACATTCCATCTGACTGGTGCAGTTTTGAAATAACACAAACAACAACCAACTGCTGATGTTCTGACAGTAGGAAAGTGGATGCAATGAAACTCGTAGTCTTTCGTTGTCACCTGGTACCAGTCTAGATCGACCGTGCAGTACGGTGGATTATTTTTCTCTTTGTTGAGACAAATACTGGACAAGAAGTCACTTAAGAAAGGGAAGGTTGTTTTTGCTCATGGATTGAGAGGATAGAGTCCGCCATGAAGCAGCTGGGCACATATTGGCAATCAGGAAGGAGAGAGAGGGGAATATGCTGTTGCCCGGCTAGCATCTCTCCCCTAAATCCCTCTCTCATTTTCATACCATATGGGATGCCAGCCTTGGGATAGTATTACCCACATCAACAATGGGTCATCCCTCATCAGTTACCCCTTTTTGTAAAACCCTAAAGAGACACACCCAGAGATATCTCCTAAGTGACACTGAATTCAGTTGACAATGCAGATTAACTCATGTGAGTGTACCATTTCACCAACTTGACACCCCAACATTACTTTTAAGTCATAACATGATAAATATCACTACAAGATACTTTTGTTTATAAAGATTTGAAGAATACAGACAGATTTTTAAAGTATCTTTAAGTAAATTTTCTATCTGTAGTGTACAGCTTCCTTCTTTACAATCTAAGTTGAAAAGTTTTTTCCATATCTATACATAGATCTTTTGTCAAGGACTTCATGTTAACCCAAAGCAGAAATAGAATAGAATTTATCTGTCATTTCCCTGATTGATGGGTACTATGCTTTAAAAAATTATTTAGAATTAGCAACAATGCCTCGAGGAAGATAATGCATTGGTCTTTGAGTATTGCTGGGGTGTGGAATTCCAGGAGAGCTTTTTAGGGGCAACAGGCTTCCCACATACCTCTACTTCATAAATAAGTGTACAAGTCAATGTATGGAATTCTGACACTACTTGCCACAGCTAACATAAATACGTGTATTTTCAAACTCGTAAGTGGGTGAGATCCAGTACAGCATTTTTATTTGCCTTTGCTAATTACTACTGCAATTTAATATCTCTATATATTTAGGAATCATTTGTGTTCTACAACAACCTGTTTCAGCTTTACTCATTCTTACACTGAGTTGGTTACTCTTATTCTTTAATAGATTTTTTATTACATTTATGTATGGGAGTGTTGTTCATGCCATAGTGGGCAGGGGAGAGCCAAAGGAAAATTTAAGGGAGTTGGTGCCCTCCTTCCACCAAGTGGGTCCTGGGTAGGCACCTTCAGCCACTGAACTATCTCTTTGCCTCATAGTTGTTTTGTTTTGCTTTTATGCATTGCAGAAAGTCTGCTCTGTCCCAAATGTAATACTCTGTGTATAACAGACAATGCAACCACTTCTACCATAATGCTGCCTTTCCTAATTTTTTTTAATTGTGGAATCAGACACATACTATAGTAGTTTCCATCTAAACCATCGTACGTATAAAGCTCAGTGCCATTAAGTGTGTTCACAACTCTCCTGCAAGCGACTCTGGAGTTCTTCCACTTTTGAGAACTGCAAGTCTTTGTCACAAAATGGCAGTCACCAGTTTCCTTCTCCCTTTCTTGCCTCAGTGGATCTACTTTCTGTTTTTTCAACTGGGCTGGTGAAGGCCCGTCATATGAGTGGAATCACATAGTATTTGTGCTTCTGTGACTGTCTCACTTAGTGTAACATTTTTAAAACCCGGCTGGGGCAGCTATCAGTCATCCTAGGTTTTTGAGACTAGCAGCACTCCATTGTCTGAACATCCTATCTTCTTACTCAAAATGCTTCTGGCATTAGTGATCCTTTTTCGCACAGAAACTTTAAATACTTGTGTTGTCAGCACAATTTCATGGTTTCTGTACTTTGCCTAATTTGAGAAAGTCTTGGTCCTCTAAATTAGATTGTCTTATTTCTGCTAACACTTTTACTATTTTGGCTCTTACATAGTAACATTACAAATCACATTTCTAAAAAAATAGTGAAGGTAAGGATGCAACTTAATTCTTTTCTAAATTTTTAGATTGTTGACCCTATTCATTTATTTAATGGTCTATCATTTGAAACTCAGTTTATGTTGTTTGGGGAGGGGTGTTTAAAACAAGGGCTCACTAGCCTTGAACCCACAACTCTGTTGCCCTCTGGAGTGCTGGGATTTGAAGCATATACCATGACTCAAAATGAAATTTGGTTTTCATCTTAAAATCAGTTCCTCTTCATACAGAATCGGTCCCTGGACTGTCTTCTTTCCATTGTCTTGGGGGCAGCCTCTTTCATGTGAATACCATGTCATTAAGTACTGGAGCTTTTATATTTGTTTAGATTTAAAATACATATTTGTACTTTTTTCAAAACAAATTTTAGAAAAGCTTCCTTTACATCTTTACTTTCCCTGTAAAGTTTCTAACTTGTCTCATTTAGTAAAGTCCCATCTGAATTTTTCCCGAGTTTGCAGTTATCAGCAATGGTGTTTTCCTCAGTGTCCATTTTGACATGAACACCAAGCACAGACAAGGTGATGCCATATGGGAAGCAGTTGGGCTTAGTGAGTGACTCACCTGGTTTCAAGTACAGACTTTACTTCAGGTTACCTGTGTCATAGGCCAAGCTACCTTCCACCTATTTTGCCCTTAGTGTCCTTATCTGCCTCCAGGAACAGTAACAGAATCTCTTCCATAAGGTTTCTGAAAATTAGGCCTCTCTTATAAACCATGTAACAAACCACTAGCCAGAAAACTACCCTCCAATACACACTATCTGTGATCATTTTCACATTTCACTGTATATCCTACTTTGGGCTGTTCCAAATGCTGATAGTGGGAACTAACCAATCTTCACATTCATTTACTGATAGTTGTAGATAGATGCTTCTTTCCCACCTGCCAGCTCCCAAATAACCACATGGAAACTTCTTTTTCTTCATCTTTTTATTTGAATTAGAAACAAGGTTGTTTTACATGTCACTCCCATTTCCCACTCCCTCCCCTCCTCCCCTATCAGCCCCCCCACCTAAACCCTACCTATCACAGATCCTTTCTGCTCCCCAGGGAGGGTGAGACCTTCCATAGGGGGTCATCAGAGTCTACATATCCTTCGGGATAGGACCTAGGCCTACCCCAGTGTGTCTTGGCTCAGAGAGTATCCCAATGTGGATTGGGCTCCCAAAGTCCACACTATGCTAGGGATAAGTACTGAACTACTACAGGAGGTCCCATAGATTTCTGAGTTCTCCTCATTGAAACCCATGTTCCTAGGGTCTGGATCAGTCCATGCTGGTATCCCAGCT